AAGAAAAAATTCCTTCAAATAAGCACTTTCTTGCCTTTTGCTTGCTGAGCGTGAAATCTCCCAACTTTCCCAATAGGAAAAGCCAAGAATATAAGGGCATGTCATTACAGCTATAAAAAGCTTAAAAGCAATAAGATAGGCTATCTTTGATGCCAATTTGGCACCAAAGTAAAGAAAACATCATAAAAAAGAAATTTATTGTTGATGACTTAGAAGGGAGCCTTGTATATAGCAACGGTCAAGTTGTCTCCGTGTGACCTATAGCTCACGAGTTTGAGCCGTAAAATCAGCCACTGATGCTTGCATTAGGGTAGGCTGCCTCCATCACACCCCCTTGTGCGACCCTTCCCCGGACCTTGCATAAAAGCGGGATGCTTTGTGCACCAGCTGCCGTTTATTGTTGACGAATTAGCCTTTACTGTTGTAGCAATGCTTGTGAATGGTCTGTTAGTACAATGGCTGAATGACACCACATCAGTAACTAAAGGATTTTCGAATGGTTCATCAGGTGAAGAAAATGGAAGCAAGTCAGAAACTAAGAGACCTTCAATGGGGTTATCAAGCGATCACATCAGCAAGTCTCAATCTACATAGTATTTCCTTCTATCTTTCTCAGCCTACATCAGGTTGTCATCAAGAAACCGAGAACTCCATCAACATAAACATATCAAAAGAGAGCCTTTCCTACTTGTCTGACCTCCTTGTGCTTTTGACAACATTAAAAAGTACTCAAGCTTCCTTGAGTAACTTGGAGTTCCACCAGGTTGAATGGGAGTTGCAGCAAGTGAGAAATCTTGGAAGTTTACTTGAAAGTAGCTCAAGTATTAACCAATTAGTGTTTAAGAGAAACACTCTCACTGTGGAATGTTTATCTGAGCTGTCGGAAGTTTTAAAGAAGAATGTAGGGATCAAGGAAATTATGCTGTCAGAATCAAATATTGGTTCGGTTGGAGCTTCGCTTCTTGCTTCAGCACTTAAGGTGAATCGAAGCTTAGAAAATTTACAAATATGGGAAGACTCCATTGGCTCAAAGGGTGCAGAGGAGCTGTCCAAAATGATAGAAGTTAACTCAACGTTGAAGCTACTCACTATTTTTGATTCCAAGTCTATTACTGCCACACCTTTGATTTCAGCAGTTCTTGCTAGAAACAGGTCAATGGAAGTACACATATGGAGTGGACAAAACAATGAGAAAACTTCAAAGGTGGTTGAATTTGTACCTGAAAACAGCACTCTTCGGATATATCGCCTTGATGTTTCAGGTGCTTGTAGAGTTGCTGGTGCTTTAGGAATGAATTCAACCGTGAAGTCACTCGATCTGACAGGAGTCCGGTTGAACTCCCGTTGGGCGAAGGAATTCCGATGGATTTTGGAACAGAACAGGACCCTCAAAGAGGTAAATTTGTTAAACACTTGCTTGAAAGACAAAGGAGTTGTTTATGTTGCAGCTGGGCTTTTTAAGAACCAGAGCTTGCAGAAGTTGTATCTTAATGGAAATTGGTTTGGAGGTGTTGGCGTAGAACATTTACTTTGCCCTTTAAGCCGGTTTTCTGCGCTGCAATATCAAGCAAATGTCACTCTCAAATCACTAACTTTTGGAGGAAAAAGAAGCAAAATTGGTAGGGATGGGCTTGCAGCAATCCTGCAGATGTTGACTAGTAATGAAAGCCTTACCAGCTTAGGAATATATGATGAAGCGAGTTTAAGACAAGTTGATATAGTCAGAATCTTTAGGAGTTTGGAAAAAAATGGTACATTACGAAGCATATCTTTACGAGGTTGTAAAGGGGTGGATGGTGAAATAGTCTTGCAAACTATCATGGATGTTTTACAAGTAAATCCTTGGATTGAAGACATTGATCTTTCAAGAACTCCACTGCAGAACGCAGGGAAAACAGAAGCAATATATCAGAGATTGGGTCAGAACGACAAGGCCGAACCAGAGATTGATTTGCTCAAAGACATGCCAATGACAGTGCCAAAGAGCTGTAGGGTCTTCCTCTGCGGGCAAGAATATGCTGGTGAGTCACTAAAGTAATATTAATTCAACTATATCACTGATTAGAAATATTGTTTTGTTTGGTAACTTTTTTAAATCTTTATTGCATCTGCAGGAAAAACTACACTATGCAATTCTGTACATCATCACTTTTCTTCTTCAAAATTACCCTACATTGACCAAGTGAGAACTCTCGTAAAACCAATTGAGCAAGCTGTTAGACCTACAGGGATGAAGATAAAAAATTTCAAGGATGAAGACACAAAGATATCAATTTGGAATCTTGCCGGGCAGCAAGAATTTTATGCACTTCATGATCTAATGTTCCCAGGACATGGAAGCGCCTCCCTTTTCCTGGTCATCTCTAGTTTGTTCGGGAAACCAAACAACCGAGAAGAGAAGACCCCGGATGAAGTTGAAGAAGATCTGCAGTACTGGTTGAGGTTTATTGTTTCCAATTCAAGAAGAGCTCTTCAGCAGTGCATGCTGCCAAATGTGACTGTTGTTCTTACTCACTATGACAAAATCAATCAACCATCACAGAACCTACAGCTTATTGTAAACTCAATCCAAAGGCTACGAGACAAATTTCAAGGCTTTGTTGAATTCTACCCAACTGTATTTACAGTTGATGCAAGATCGTCTGCATCAGTAAGTAAACTCGCCCATCACCTCCGAAAGACAAGCAAGACGGTTCTCCAAAGGGTTCCTAGAATCTATGAGCTTTGCGATGACCTCATGCAAATTCTGTCAGACTGGAGATTGGAAAACCATAATAAGCCAGCGATAAAGTGGAAGGAGTTTGGTGATCTATGCCAAGTCAAGGTTCCATCGCTCAGGGTTCGTTCCAGACTCGATAATAAGGAGAAAGTGGAAAAGAGGAGAAAGTCTGTTGCTACGTGCCTTCATCACATTGGCGAGGTGATTTATTTTGATGGACTTGGTTTCCTAATCCTAGATTGTGAATGGTTTTGTGGTGAAGTACTTGGTCAGCTTATAAGAATAGATGCCAAAAAGCAGACTTCAGTTGGAGATGGATTCATAAGTAGAAAAGAATTGGAAAAAGTTCTTAAAAGTAGTCTTGATAGCCAGATTCCAGGGATAGGCCCAAAAGTTTTCGATAACTTGGATGCAAGTGATCTTGTGAGAATGATGCTGAAACTTGAATTATGCTATGAACAAGATCCTTCAGATCCCAATTCACTAATGTTGATACCCTGCTTTCTTGAAGAAGGTAGGGGAAAACCACCAAAGTGGCAGATAAACTCAAGCGAATGCGTTTATGCAGGAAGGCACCTCCAGGGTGATGACTCAAGCCACATGTTTCTAACACCAGGCTTCTTCCCCTGCTTACAGGCAAGATCTCTCATCTATTTTTACACTCTATTCTCTATTTCTCGAATACTATGATGGTGGTAATGAAATAGCAGCCCTTTTATTTTTATTTATTTCATCATCTCGGATAAGAATATTATTCGCTATATCTGTTTAGGTACATTTGCACAACAAAATAATGGGGTTGAAGAATCAATATGGAGCAACTTATAGCCTTGAAAAGTACCTCATCACAATGAGCATCAATGGCATCTATGTCCGTGTAGAACTTGGGGGTCAATTAGGCTATTACATTGATGTGCTTGCTTGTTCCACAAAGCACCTGACAGAAACCCTAAGGCTATTCCAGCAGCTTATAATACCAGCAATCCAGAGCCTTTGCCATGGGGTCAGACCGACTGAACACATTATCCGACCAGAATGTGTAAGAAATCTAATACCACCAAGGTACAGGAGAAACCAATTTGTGCCTCTCAAGCAATTAAAGCAGGCATTGCTCTCAGTGTCGGCAGACAATATGTATGACTATCAGCACACTTGGGATTTGGTAACAGATTCTGGAAGGACTATCGTTGGAGCTGGTTTTGACTATGCTCGGGATCTCTTATCCGATGATGATTTTCGGGAAGTCCTTCAATGCAGGTACCATGATCTGCATAACCTTGCTGGGGAGCTTCAAATTCCTTTGGATAACAACCAGGATGGACAGAATCACGCTGCTACTACAAGTGAAGAAACTGAAGGAAAGATTGAACCATCATTTGCTGGAATAGCCAAGGGTGTTGAAGAAGTTCTGCAGAGACTTACAATTATACAGCAAGAACTTAGGGATATAAAACAAGAAATCCTAGGCCTCAGATACTACGAGCACAGGCTTCTTATCGAGTTAAACTGCAAAATGAACTACCTTGTGAACTACAATGTTCAAGTTGAAGAAAGAAAAGTGCCAAACATGTTCTATTTTGAAAGAACCGAGAATTACTCAAGGAGACTGATCACCACCATGATTTCCGGAATGAATGCTCTCCGGCTGCACATGTTATGCGAGTATCGGGGAGAAATGCACGTGGTTGAAGATCAGATAGGTTGTGAAGTGATGCAAGTTGATAACAGGGCAGTGAAATGCCTAGCTCCATACATGAAGAAGTTCATGAAATTGGTCACATTTGCTCTCAAGGTTGGAGCTCATTTAGCGGCAGGGATGGGAGAAATGATACCAGATTTGAGTAGAGAAGTCGCACATCTGCTTGAATCTCCCGCTGCATATAGTGCAGCGGGGGCTGCAGCTGCTGGTGTTGTTGGAGTTGCAGCAGCAGGACGTGTGGAGATAAATAGGGGTTCAAGGGACATCCAACAAGATCTTAAAGCAGCACAACAATGGGTTGTTGATTTCTTGAGGGATCAAAGGTGCTCTGGTGGAAGAGATATTGCTGAAAAGTTTGGATTATGGAGAGTTAGGTACCGAGACAATGGCCAAATTGCATGGATCTGTAGGAGGCATATGTACGTAAGAGCAAATGAAGTAATTGAAGTCCCACTTTGAAGTTTAGCTTTAGCCATATAGCACCAAGAGAGTAAGTTTCCAATTCTTAAACATTCTGAAACATATGTCTATCAAGATTCCCATGCTCATTGTCTTTATTTTAGCCATTTTCCCCTTTACTAGTGCTTCTCAGTTTAATCTTCATGAGATTATTTGTTTTTGAGATACACATGGTAGGAATTACAATGATCTATATGGTATCAATAGTGAAATAATCTCGTCCGTTCATGCATTATTTCCATCATAAAATTGCTATGAGATTATTATGTGAAGGAGTATAACATTTTCCTTGCTACCTTTTCCGTTCATTGTCTTCCACCTTCTGCATCTGTCTGCGTTATTTTTTTTTTCTTCTCATTGTATTGCAAAGCTAACACAGCCATCTTCTTCTCATTATTTTGCATCAGATATTTATCAGATATGACTATTTTCAGATTTCACTAAACTTTAATTTAGTTCGCTAACCTTGCACCAACAAAGGCATCGCAAAAAGAAAATGTATGTTATGGCAATTTAATCTTGTGTTACATATATTCGTTTAGAACATGGAACCTTACTGATGATTCACTCAATTAAAATGCTAAACAATGAATTCTACAACTACTCATGAGAAACTGTTTTCCTCATGTTTACCTTTTACATCTGTTTAACTACTCAATTAATTATAACTTCAAAAAGAGAGAAAATTTGGGTCAAGCATCAAGATGAAGAAGTGAAAAGCACAGCTCATAAGATTTTAATCTAGTGAATGCGAAATACCACTAAACTCATTAGTTTCTCAATAACAAATTGGTGCGGGCAAAACATAAATATAAATCTCTTAAATTTGTCCAAATATACATATATGAGAGTGTGTCCCTTCTCTCCTGCATCCGCCGAGGTGAAAAAAGAATAGAGTTATATAGAATACAACATTTTCACATAAATTAATTTGGAGTAAAAAACACCCCAAAAACTTACTCTGCTGATCTCCACAATTCATTCACTTGTCCAGTTACTATTTCTTTGGAACTGGAAGCTCTTAAATTTTTACAGTTTATACCACTTTAGCAATTCTTAGTCCTCACTCAATTTTCCATGCATATAAGAAGAGGCAAAATGGTGAAGCTTTAGAATAGCTTAACGTTGAATAATACTTGCTATGATCACTGCAATCGCTGCCACCACCCACACTACTCTCTTCCCTGTCACTGTCGTCCTCAGACGCCCCTGGCTTGAAAATAAACAGGCCATGACCTGACCCTGGTGAACAAAACAACCAAGCGTGCACGTCCCAAAAGACTTGCACGGGTTGTTTGTTTACTAATACCGTTTCGTTTCCCCTGAATTTCCACTGCAAGTTTTTTATGTGAATCAAAACAATTCCATCTATGCTTATCCACATTTCAGGATCTCTAGGCCCTGAAGTTGAACTTTCTACAACAATATCACTTTCTTGCTTCCTTTGATCAAATTTAGCTCTTGTTGAGAAACTTTTCTTACCAAAAACATGTTCTTTCTTGTAAAATAATAAAGCATCCACAAGAGCTGGCCTTGATTTAGTTTTCTTATAGGCTTTTTTCTTGTAATCTCCTAATAATAACACAACCTCTTCCTCAGAAACTAAGGCAACGTAAAAATCCGAACATGGTTCTGGACTTCCAGAAAATTTTGCTGATCTTAGATCCCAATATGCTTCCAATTGATTTCCATCAACCTCAAAAATTTTGTATCCTTTTTTGGCCCAAAAATGCCAAGGTTTAAGATCAATCTTGCATGTTTGATGATAATCACTTTCAACGCTATCGACCGTTAGGGTCACGGAATGATTCATTAGATTCTTGCTCCATATAACAGTCACGTTACGCCAATAACCTCCAATATGAGATTGATAAACACATGTAACGCTACTTTGCGCGTTCTTAGGGTTTACAGGATCATCTGTTAGTTTTTGAATGATGGGCGGTTGAGAAGAAGAAGATGATTGTGCCCTTGTAGTAGCATGATAAGCCATTTTTTAGAATATTCTTTTTGCCCAACTTCTCAATTCATCAACTGAATAAAAACAAAATTTAAAGGTGATGGAACTCATGGAATAAATATATCTTTGTACGCTATACGTAAATGTCTAGGTTGATGAGCCACTCATATACATCCAACGTTGAATATAATTGTATTCTTTTAGCAGATCTCCACAGGAATTGGAAACAACATGCATGTCACCATACAAGAAAATATTATACTCAGATTTTCATCAAGATATGTGCCATTTTCAGGCATGTCAATGCCTAGCTTGATTAAATGGGGTTGGCAATAACAATATTGAATTGAAATAATGCAAAACTGGGAGTTTGAAAGAGATTAATTGGCTGTGGACTGGGAATTTTGGAGAAATTTTGCAAGAAAAGGGTAGTTAGTGTTATTTGGTGGAGGAAAGAAGGAAATTTAGACAATAGTTTTTTTTTTTTTTGGATCTAACTTTTTCTTTTTGTGTGGAGAAAATGTCTCTTGCTAGAGGCAGGGGGCGAAAGGCTTCCGGGAAGGAAGGCCACAATGTGAGAAAATATTTTACAAGCCTGCAATATTGCTGCTACATCAAGTACGAGTAAGTATTATCATAATTAAGTACGTAAATATTTCTTCTTTTTTTTGTTCGAGAGTATTTCTTATTACTTACTATTATATTTTATTTGTTATTTATTTTCGTCAATTTTTGCATGGAAAAAGCCATAGGGAGCAAAATTCGGAAAAATAGTGTTGAAGGAGATTTATTTTCCCCCCTTTATTTTCTCTAAAAAGAGTCATACGGCTAAATTCAAGAAAAATATTTCAGGGAGATTATATCACATGAAAGATTTTGTCTTAACGCATATTAATTAATTGGTTTCCAATAGTATACGCTTTGTAAATGCTATTATCTGATTATGTGAACAGAATGCATGGATTGAAACTCTTAAAGAAACACTCAAAAATCTTAGAGCTAATTATAACCAGTATAACTCTTAACATTGGTTAGGAATGACAATCCCTTTCATTTCTATAGGGTATTCTTTTTCAAATAAATGCAGCCAACGAAAGAAAAGTATTTAGAATAAGTCCTAGTTCCTCAATGGTGGATTCTAAAGTTCCATTTTAATTTTTAGAAACCAATGCATTTTACTTTCTGGAATAATTTCCTAAAGTGTAAGTACTCTTAACACTACAGCATACACAAATTCTTCTCCTGGTCGATCAACTAAAGGCATAAGTTGATCTGATATTACAAAATATGATCCACTTATCGTCTCTGTTGGCACTGTCTCCATAAAGAAACTATAGCTATTAACAGATATGTTACCCGGAAAAAAATCCTTCAAGAAATATGTTATTTGTTGCTTAAATTATTTCCTTATATTTTTAAAAAATCTATAATCTCTTTAGGTTTGGGAAAGCCCATTGTTCTAATAGGTTTGGGAAAAGAAAACTTATTGTCAGGATTGGGAAAACCTTTCTCTTATAGGTTTGAGACTATTTGGGATCTATATATAGGGGTTGTAGTTGGGGATTCTATAGATTGTATTGTGCTTTTCTTTTCATTCATAATGGAAAATTCTTTCTGCTTTTGCCTCGAGGATTAGGCTTAGCCGAACCTCGTTAAATTCTTGTGTTGATTTTTCTTCTCTATTTACTTTGTGTATGATTGTGTTTTAGTTAACCCACCATCTTCTGCAACAAGATATACCAAAAAGTAGAGAGCCTAGACGAAATTATAGTTTTCTATAAAAGATATTAAATCATATAGTTGAACTTTAACAAACTAGCTACAGTCCTCTCGGTATGTTCAACATGTCTTGGAAAAAATTTAGGCGAAATACATAAATATCCCCTTTAAGTTGTCCACTGTTAGATTTTAGTTTTAATGATAAAAAATAATATAATTGCGTTTGGTGTAGGGACTCAAGGAAATCAACCAAGATCGAAGAGAAGCAATCAAAGCTAATAAAGAAATCAATCAGAGATTGATTGAAGCATTCAAAAGGAAAAGAAGCACTGAAGAGCCAACAAGATAATCAATCAGAGATTGATTGAACCGTTAAAAAGGAAAAAAAAACATTGAAGATTCGACAAGATAATCAATCAGAAGCTATTACTAGAAGGACCCAGATTTAAGGAGCAAATCCGGCGGCTATCAAGACTTAAAGATGGAAAGATGTCAAAGTCCACACATATAATGACCTAAAGGGTCATCTTATGTTTTAGAACTCGATTCTGCGCACTTAAGCCTTTAAAATCTCATTTTTATCCACCTCGATTTGCGTGCGCAGTCCGGGCGTATTTCCGAAAAGATTTTATGTTGAAAGTTGATGAAAAAAAAATAATTTTTGCCTTTAAAAGTTGATTTAGTTGACTTCGGTCAACATTCTGAGTAAATGGACCCGAACTCGTATTTTGACAGTCCCGGTGGGTCCGTATTGAAATATGGGACCTGAGCATATGCCCGGAATCGAATTCCGAGGTCCCTAACTCGAGATATGAATTTTTGATAAAAATTTAAAGTTTGAAAATTAAATGGTTTTAAGAATTTGGTTAATGTTTGATCTCATTGGTATCGGGTCTGTATTTTTGTTTCAGAGCCCGGTACAGGTTTATTATGATATTTAAGACTTGTCTGTGAAATTTGGTGAGAAATGGAGTTGGTTTGACGTGATTCACACGTCCGGTTTGTGAAATAGAGGCTTTAAAACTTTCTTGAAAATTTCATTCAATTTGGTGCTAAATTCGTAGTTCTAGGTGTTATTTTGGCGATTTGAACGCGCGAGTAAGTTTGTATGATGTTTTAGGACTTGTGTGCATGTTTGGTTTGGAGCCCCCAGGGCTCGGGTGAGTTTTGGATAAGCTACGGGATGTTTTGAACATAGAAAATCTGGTATTTTAGCTGCAGCAGCTGTTCTGGTGTGTCCTTCTTCGCGTTCGCGAAGATACTCTCGCGAACGCGAAGGGTAGGCTGGTCAGGGTGAGTTTTTCTTCTTTGCGAACGTGAAGGACTGATCGCGAACGCGGAGTGATGGGGGCTTAACCCTTCGCGAACGAGACCCGCTCATCGCGAACGCGAAGCATTTGGGACCTAGGGGAGGGGTTAGACCTTCCGACTACACGAACGCGAGCACGGGCTCGCGAACGCGGTGGAGGTTTCGCGATCTCATAAACCTAGCAAGGCAGCTCTTCACGAACGCGACAATGTTTTCGCGAACGCGATGAACACTGTCGCCCAGTTCATAAAACAGTCCCAAAACGGGACTTAAGCCATTCTTTCAAATTTTCAAAAGCTAGAAGACCTCGGGGCGATTTTCTAAAGATAATTTCTTCCCAAAGTGTTGATAAGTGATTCTAAACCACTCTCTTTCAATTACCCATTGCATTTTATGAAATTTAACCTAACATCTAGAGTGTTCATGGTAGAATTGGAGGGTTTTGGGGTAGAAACTAGGGATTTGAGAAATTGGGAATTTAGACCTCAAATTGAGGTTGGATTCCAAAACCAATTATATATTCGGGCTAGGGGGTGAATGTATAAATGGATTTTGGTCTGAACCTCAGGTTTTGACCCAGCGGGCCCGAGGTCGATTTTTGACTTTTTGGGGGAAAGTTTGGGAAATCTAAATTTATGCAATGGTAGTTGATTCCTTTAGCAATAATTGATGTTGTTGAGTTAATTGTGGCTAGATACGAGTGGTTTGGAGGTGGATAATAGAAGAAAAGCGATAATTGAGCATTGAGTTGCCCGCAGAGCGAGGTAAGTGTCGTGTCTAACTTTGAGTCGAGGGATTAGGAACCCTTGACTTATTTGCTATATGAAATCCATGTGTGCGGTGTATAGGTGAGGTGACGAGTACCTATGCGCCGCCAATTTATCTGTTTTGCCTGTTTCTTTCCCGTTCTTCTTATATTGCCTTTTTCTGTCTTAATTGCTACATGTTTTACTTGTATTTCCATGCTTAATTGCTACTTGTTAGACATTCTTTCTCTTTGCTGAAAGTATTAGTTATTCCGTAGTTTTGTTGCCTCCTATTATTTGCTTAAGTTGTTTATCAGTACTTTCAAGGCATATTTCCTAGATTGGTTTCATTGTACAGTATTATTTGTACAGATTCTGTATTGAATGATGTTTTATTTTCTTGGTTCAGTTTGGTAATTATTTATTGTAAAGGCCTTGTGATTTAGCATGTTGATTTGACTATGTACATTGAGTGTCTGGTTTTGATATGGTGGGATCGGGCTGTACGCCACAGCAGGTGTAATAAGGGAGTATTGATACGGTGAAATAAAGGTGAATATATATATATATACCCGATCCTGCAACAGGTGGAATAAGGGTGGATTGATATGGTGAAATTACAATATTGATTGATATATGGTGGGATCGGGTTGCGCACCACAATAAATATATATTATTTACTGTTGTTGATATTGTTATGGTGGAATAAGGGAGGATTATGTGTTGTCTGGTGGGATCAGGTTGCGTGCCGCAACAACCTATATGCTTCTATTTCTTGAGCTGCGTTGTTTTTCCGATATTTTGTTTGAACTAGTAAAATTGGTAAATTCTGGACGACACTAGTTTATTTTCGAGGCTGTGATTATCATTTCCTGCTGGATGTTTAATTCTGTTCTGTATTTCAATTATTCTGTCATTATTATATATTGCGTACAGGTTTTAGCGTAAGTGACCCGCCTTAGCCTCGTCACTACTTCGTCGAGGTTAGGCTCGACACTTACCAGTACATGAAGTCGGTTGTATTGATACTGCACTCTGCACACTATGCAGATTTTGGAGACGGTCCCAGCGTTGGTTATTAGCGAGCTCGGATCATACATTTGCGGAGACTTGAGGTACGGCTGTTCAGCGCCCGCAACTCCTGGAGTCCCCATCCTCTATACTTTCATTCGAACATATTGTTACTTATTCTAGACTCTTATGTGTATTACTCTAGTAATTCATGCACTCGTGACACCAGGTTCAGGGAATTGTAATAGATATTTGGCTAGTTCAGCTTCTACATTGTTACTTTAAATTTATTCAGTTATCTCAGCTCTTCTTTAATATCTAATTTAACTGTTAAAAGGAGTAGATTTTTCTAACATTGGCTTGTCTAGCAAGTGAAATGTTAGGCGTTATCATAATCATGACGGTGGAAATTTTGGGCCGTGACAACACATCAAGGAAGAGTAACGGGAATTAACTTTATTCTTGGAAAGAATCAATTTCTTCCAAGGATTAAATCTCTTGGGTTGCCAAATCTCTTCAGTATGAATGGTTTCCTACAAAGTATTTATACGCAACCTTAAGTTCTAGAGGGTCATACTTTGATCAATCCAATTACCCTCTCTTTGTTCTACTTCAAACAAACATTGTAGCTCTACTAGATCTGCTGTGTAACAAGTTAGAGAAGAAAAAGAGAAAAATACTGGTGAGGCATTGTATCAAGAAATGACGAGTGGCATAGAAACTAAGCCGTTGGCGTAAACTACACCATTCACTTTGTACTCAAGAAACTCAATCACTGAAAGAGAACTCCCTTGCAATCCAAGGGGACTGGACTAGGATTCATATTGAATTCGATCCAGTATAAAAACTCCGGTGTCTTTAATTCCTACACTTTACTTCTACATTTTTATTCTGCACCTCTTAATATCTCGCTATTACACCTAGTTGACTAATTGGAAAACTAGTCAACTTATAATAATTATTTTTAAAATAAGCAATTCACCCCTCCCCCTCTTGTACTTTCAATTGGTATCAGAGCGAGGCTCACATTTTTCTTTTGCTTAACAACTTGTGAGAAAGATCATGGCTGATCAATTTATTGTTGGAGAACTTTTCAAAGAAGGAACATCGCAAATGAGGCCACCGTATTTCAATGGACAACATTTCTCTTACTAGAAAGTGCGTAATATACGCAAAATATTATGATGTCAAGGTCTGGCGAGTTATCAAAAAGGGGAACTACCCTTTGCCGGCTGCTGCTCAACCACCTGTTGATCCTGAAGATATAGATGAATACATAGATGATTAAATGGCAGTTGTGCAAGTTAATGCTAAAGCAAGGAATCTGCTTTATAATGCTATAAGTGGTGAGGAATATGAGAAAATCACCAGTTGCGATACAACCAAAGAGATGTGGGATAAACTTGAAGTTACATATGAAGGAACTAGTAAATTGTAGGAAACCCATATCAACATATTAGTTCATGACTACGAACTCTTCCAGATGAAAGAAGGAGAATCCGTTGAAGAGATGTTTGCCAGATTTAGCAAAATCATTAGAGATCTAAAAGCTTTTGGCAAACCATACTCAAGTGATGATCAAGTTAGGAAAATTCTGAGAAGTCTACCCACTACTTGGCAGACAAAAGTAGTTACACTTGAATCACGGGATTTGAACAAATTATCATGCGATGAACTTCGAGGAGAACTTATAGCTTTCGAGAAAACTCATCTCAAGAAAACAAGCCAAAAAAAGAAGAAGAAGAAAACAGTTGCTTTCAAGGCTACAACTGAAAGAGTAGACAATGATATTGATGTCGACCCTGAAGCTCTTCAAGAAGAAATTGCCATGGTATCAAGGAATATGGATGGTTTAATGAGGATATACAGGAATACAAGAAGAGGCATGATACTATCCAGGCGAACTAGGCAATATAACGAACAAGACAAAAATGATGGCAAATGCTATGAGTGTGGAAGATTTGGGCATGTTCAAGCTGAATGTCCTGATCTTAAAAGAAAAGTTTTCAGAGGTTTCAAAAAGAACAAATCATTTGGAAGCCAGAGCGATGAAGACAGTTCAGAACACGAAGAGATAGCAAATCTATGCTTCATGACAATTCTGGAAAACGACATGAACAAACTCTCAGGGTGCTGGACAGATGAGGACACTTCAGATGACAAATGCAAAGATGACAATGAGAACTGTTTCATGGCACGAGGTGAAACAAACAAGGTAAGATCTTATAACTGTGAAATATGTAATGAATTGCAGGATATTCTTGACCTTACTTTGAAAGAGTATCAAAAAATGATGAATGAACTAAAAAGACTCAACAAAGAAGTAAAAGACTGGAAACTCAATCTTGAAGTATGCGAAATTGAAAAAGAAGTACTTCAAGAAGAGTTTGAGGAATTGCAAATGCAACTCAATGGCATGCGCAAATCCACCAGTCATAGTTCTGTCAAGTCGAACCAGGTGACTTACAAGTCAACTGGAGAAGGACCAGCCAGAATAGAGTCCACTAGTACTAACACAAATGAAAGATCCAAAAATGGATCAGGACTTACGTGTCACTACTGTAACAAAAGTGGACATAAATATTCTTTTTGTCGATTTCGTAAATCAAATGTCTCGGGGTGGATTTGGAAACCCAAAAACAATACTGAGTCTAGTAATACTAACCAACAAGGACCCAAGCAAGCTTGGATACCTAAAAGAAAGTGATAATTATGTTTTGCAGGAACACCACAGAAGGAGTCGCAAAGGAAAATGGTACTTAGATAGTGCGTGTTCCAGTCACATGATAGGTGACAAAAACATATTTAAAGAAGTTAAAAAAAATAGATGGAGGATGTGTCAAATTTGGTGATGACTCAAAAGGAAAAATAGTCAGTACCGGAACAGTTCCTTTCAATAATAACTGTGATATCACTGAGGTTTATTTAGTTGACAGACTTAACTATAATCTTCTGAGTATAAATCAGCTATGCGACTCAGGGTATGGAGTAAAGTTCAAGAAAACAGGTTGTGTTATTGAAGATGAGACATGTAAAATAATCCTCCCAGGTAAAAGGTATGGAAATGTCTATATTCTTGATAGTTTTGAAAATATAGATGGTCATCTTTGTTTAACATTCATATCTGATGATCCATGATTATGGAATAAGAAACTTGGTCATGAAAGTATACAACTGATAGAGAAACTTTCCAAGCATGATTTAGTTATTGGTTTACCTAAACTCAATTTCTCTAGAAATCATATATGTGATGCATGTTAGATTGATAAACAAACTAGAAACTCTTTAAAAAATAAAGATATTGTATCTACTTCAAAGCCTTTGCAATTGCTTCATATGGACTTATTTGGACCTACTAGAACTGCTAGCATAGGAGGTAAACGATACGACTTTGTTATTGTTGATGATTACTCACGCTTTACTTGGGTGATTTTTCTATCTCACAAAGATGAAGCCTTGAAAATTTTTGGGATCTTCTGTAAAAAGGTCGAAAGAGAAAAAGGGTATCTTATTACAACAATTCAAAGTGATCATGAAGGAGAATTTGAAAGCAAAGCATTTGAAGATTTTTGTAATGATCAAAGATACACCCACAATTTCACTGCTCCAAGGTCACCCCAATAGAATGAAGTTGTTGAGCGGAAAAATAGGACTTTGCAAGATATGGCAAGAACTATGATACTAGAATATTTATTGCCATATCATTTCTGGGCAGAAGGAGTAAGTACAATGTGTCACATTCTCAACTGATGCCTCATAAGACTCATCCTGAAGAAGACTCCTTATGAATTGTGGAAAGGTAAACGACCCAATATAAGTTACTTTCATCCATTTGAAAGCAAGTGTTTTCATTCAAAATAATGGTAAGGATAATCTTAGAAAATTCGATCCAAAAAATAACGAAGGTATTTTTCTGGGTTATTCATTAAATAGTAGATCCTTTAGAATCTATAATGAACACACACTATGTGTAGAAGAATCACTACATGTTATCTTTGATGAAAATAACACTTCGGCTAAGAAAGGAATTATTGCAGGTGATGAAGATCAAATTCAAGAAATTCAGGAGACAAGCAAATCCCAAGAGTCAGCTAATAAACCTGATGGTGTCATGGAGTCGACTAATGAGGTTATGAACAGTCAATCAGAATCTCCGAAGGAGTCAACTACTCATACAAGTACAATTCGTCCAAATGAACGGAGAAGTGAACCTGAATATCCTCAAAAGCTTATCATAGGAGACCCAAACGAAGGAATAAAAACAAGGGGAGCTCTCAAGAAGAAAGCAAACATAGCATTGATTTCCCAGATTGAACCAAAGAAAATAAAGGAAGCTCAGAAAGACTCAAGCTGGTTACAAGTAATGCAGGAAGAGCTAGATCTATTTGAACAAAAAATCAAGTGTGGAAACTGTTGCCTAAGCCTGAAAACGTTCCTGTAATTAGAACAAAATGGGTTTTTAGAAATAAGCTGAATGAGGATGGAAAGGTTGTGAGAAATAAAGCCAGATTAGTAGCTCAAGGATACTCACAACAGGAGGGAGTCGACTATGACAAAACCTTTGCTCTAGTAGCTCGACTGGAATCAATACAAATTCTTCTTGTATACGCATCCTTTAAAAAACTTAGGCTCTTTCAGATGGATGTCAAAAGAGACTTTTTAAATGGTTTCATTGATTAGGAGGTATATGTAAAACAACCTCCTGGATTTGAAGATTCAAAGTTTCCCTACCATGTGTACAAATTGACCAAAGCATTGTATGGACTCAAACTAGCTCCACGAGCATGGTACGTGTCACGACCCAAACCGAAGGGTCACGACAGGCACCCGGTGCCTTACTCAATCGAGTACCAACGCCACATATCTTTCTTATCGTACTATCATTGGTAACTGGTCCAACATGGCCACAACTCATAATGTATAATTATAAGTGGGAAATCACTATATCAATGAACCATCTTTCTTAAAACATGAATACATACGAACCGTCAAGGCTTATGACATACTGTACAAAATGAACCTCTGTCTACAAAGCCTCTAAGAATATTTGACATCAAATGGGACATGGTACTAGCCTACCCATAAGTTTGTAGCAAAATTCTGACACGATGACTCATAGACTAGGTTACATTCCGAATGAGGTGGAGTCTTATCGATCCTTCACTGAATGCTAACCTCATCTACTATGAGTGCTCGACAAGCTGATCGTCTATACCTATAGGCATGAATGCAACATCCCCAACAAAAGGACGTCAGTACGAATAATATACCGAGTATGTAAGGCATATAAATAAGTATATAAAAGACATGGAAGAAACATGGAGTAAATGACTTAACCTGTAAGTCTGGATAACTCTGTAAATCATGAAATAATTATAGTGTCACGCATATGCGTATGAATGTCATGTCGTGCATAGGTACATGTATTCATAACATCATCAAGCCTCTTAGGGCATCCCATCATATCATCTAGGCCATTATGGGCAAAATCATCAACGATACCAGCTGATCAGGTAGTGATGTGTATATAACGCCGTAACCTTTTTCCATATCCTATATACATATAATGTACATATATACGCGTATATAACGCCATCTGGTCATATGTCAATGTACATGTATAAATGAATGTAATGCATGAGAAGTACGTCAATAAAGTCATTCAGAATGTCATAAGACCATTATGTCTTTGATTAATATCATGAAGAAACTTTATAAACTTACGTATTTTCTAAGACCCATGAACAGATGATAGAATAATAGGACACATGGGAATCAAGAACATAAGCATCTCTAGCATTTCTATGAATAGAGTCATTTATGAAAATTATGCATTTGCTCATTTGGTTTGTATCGTGTGGATCATGCCGAAAGGAAAGAACGAATAGCTTTAACATACCTAAACCAATTCTCTTGACAATCTTTTTAACACACATCAATTGCGACAACATGTAACAACAAATTAAAGTAGGAAAAAACTCGTATGATATTCTTGAGAAAGATTGCACCGTACTCCTTTAGAATCATAAAATCTCGTTGCTATTATGATATGAAGTCTCGTATGAATTCTTGTTAAAGTAATTCATGTTACTATGAAGATAGATATATCTCTCTTTTGAATTTGATCCTAATCTTGTATAAGTTTTCTTTGTTGAAACTCATCCGTCACTTTAGTGAATATGACCATCTCCATTTTGTGATTTTTAGAGAAGCCTTTCTCCAACTCCCCTTAATAGATTAGGGAGGTGGTTTCTTTTATCAAAGAGAGTGGGCCCCACTTTAGGATGACTAAGCCACATAATCTCACAAACTTTGCCACCTTGAAGAATGATTTAAGAGTCACATTTTGTGACTTTGTTAGTTGCCAAGTTGGGAGATTAGTCCCTATCCATCATTTCCTTAATCTTATCCAATAACCTTAATTACATGTTAATCTCCCACTACAAAATTAATAATTACCCAATTATTCACATAATTAAGAACTATCTCAAATTACTTATAATACTATTCACTTTTAACACACTTTATACATCTTGCTATCATGGTCATATGGTACCTTGTATGGCACTAGTCCATAAATACCAGGTATTATAGCTCGGACTGTATTTATCCCAAAATGTTAAACTTCGACGAAACTCATTTTCTTCAACTCGCTTACCCTCTCACCTTCACGAATTTACTTATAACTTGTTTTGAAATAGCATAATACTGATAATCTCAAAATAATCTCATTCCCGAGCTTACGTCAATTAACTTACGACGAAACTTTAACGTATGAAAATACGGGATGTAACATCTCATTTCCGAGCTTCCATCAATTTACTTATGGAGTACTTTCACGTACGAAAACATGGGGTGTAACATCATTTCCCCCTTTGGAACATTCGTTCTCGAATGTTGACTGATGCACTTATCATTTTCATAACATATAACTTATGTCTTCCGAATACTTTAGTACTTTTCTTGCCATCTAGGCAACTGTTCTGTGAATAATTTTAAAGGTCAGGGCATTCTCCCCATTAGGCCTCTTTCTCATACCACGACTTGTGGGCGAAATCCTTTCAATCTCCACTACTAAAAAATTGGCCTACGGTAATGCATGGAAAATCGTTCCCACAGACTGTTAAACCGTTGCCATAGAGATATTGGAACGGTTTACATCCCGTTACATCAGCTTGCGTGTCAATAGGTCTATAGGAACGGTTCTTGCAACGGTTTGTGTCGTCGTAGTTATAGATACGTCTATCGCAACGGTTTTCCCTTTCTCTATTGGAATGATTATTTTTTCCAATTGGAACGGTTTAAAACCGTTACTATATTGTGTATGCAACAGTTCTTAACCGTTACCATATTATTTAATGCAACACTTATGTAAGCTATTGTTACGGTTATGTATAGATATAACAACGATTTCTTTAAGCTATTGTAACGATTTTATTTGTCTTGGAACGGTTTATAGGACCTATTGCAATGATTTGTATTGTATTATGGAACGTCATTTGTCTCCTATTGCAATGGTTCTAGTAGGATATTGTAACAATTCAGTTAAAACAAAAATATAGCCCCAGTTATAAATAAATATTTATATATATATAATAAATATAATAACACTAAAATTTAAATAAATTATAAAATAAAACTATTAAATATATAAATTATCCATCAAACAAATAATATCCATAAAGCAAAATGCATAAGTTTAATACATTTCAAGAGAGTAAGTTTCAAAAACGTAGATAACAAAAGATTCCTATAGAACATTCATCTATAGCAATTCAAAATTCATCTCAAGTAAGGTCTAGCTCTTCACTGCCATTATCTTCTTCCATTTCTTGATCTACTCCACCTATAAAAGAGGATAAATAAACTCATTACTCTATTCTGATAACTATCAGAACTTATCAAAATTTTAGAAACTAAAAGCGCAAATTGTAAAAGGAAATAATCAAAAGAAGTACACCTCCTCAACCATAAACAGATAAATATAAGCAGATCTCAATAAGCTCATTTCTAAGTTAGCATATGCACATTATGCAGGGCTGTGAGGTTTGAAGCCTTTAATTATGTTAAACTCACGATTATGACCTAAAAGACTTGGGACTTCAGCAATTGTTACAATAAAAGAATTTGAGTACAAAAACTTCATAGTAAACCAAATCCGTCTACTCTCTGAATGTGCAACACTAGATGGTGTTTGACGTATCACGATTAATGTTCATGTGATCTTCAACTAATTGATAAAGGAGTTTGAAACATCAAAATAATAAAGAAAAGCCACAAATGATTACAAGTCTAAAATATTATCACTAGCATCAATCAGTACAGAGGATCTAACGGCAACATTACCAAAAAGTGTTTTTAAGAAACTCACCCCACATGAAAAGCGCATTGATGGAGTTGGAAAACACTGATAATTGAGCAAATTGTTACAATATCCAAATTCATTCAAATAATTATTCTTCGCAGTAGGACAATCAACAGAAAAAGGAACTAGATAAAAACAAGAATTCTTGTACCAAGAGTAATAACAGTGAAAAATGAAATGATGGTGTAGGAGAGGAGTTGGCGCTGCGGAGCCTAAGTCTACTGCTCCTTTGTCTATAGCAAACAAATTTGCATTATTGGAGGGGGTTACAGTCAGTTATCTTATTTTATTATCATTTCCTTATTTCCTTTTGATTATTCTATTTCTTATAGTTGAGGGGATACATGTAAGCAGATCTCTTAAACCACACCAAAAGCCAAAGTACTCTCACAAGCCAATGAAGGACTCCATCATTTTCTCACTCTCTTCTCGTATTTTTCACTCTAGCCCAAGGGCAGACCAACCCCAAATGTGGCAGCAGCTTTCACCAAGCAGACAAAGGCTCAACACTACAAGTCCTACATGTGAACAACCCTTGCTCTCCTATTAGGCACAATGCTCCCCAGTCATGGGTTGATACTGTCCTCCAAATGTAGTCCAAAGACCAAGCCAGACTAGATGTGTTTACTGGTCTTGTGGCTGGTAGATCTTTTGTTCCAATTGCTTGGGGAAGACAAGTTATACAATGCTAAAAGATACATGCACAACAGCATCATGACTGAACTAAAAGTGTCAGGCAAATGCTTCACAAATAGACTAGATGATAAATCCAGCAACCTAATCACAAATAGATAGACTACAACACCTTGAAACTGGCCTAAAGGTAGAAATGGCATCCAGGATGCATATAAACTCGTAACTATTGCTACTTTCTATCATGCAGCTTGTATGACTTTTTCCTTGTATGTGCGCCTATGCGACTCTTCCATTCAGCTTTTAGCCAATCTTTAGGCCTCACTCACAGAACTTGACGAGATATCCCTTTGGGCATCTATAGGTGTATTGAAGTTCTTTGCTCGGTACTTTGTCGAACTTACGACTATTGCTATATCTTGTTTTATAGTCCCGGTTATCCA